TCACATTTCTAAGACCACCACATCTAAATCTAAAATCCTTTAAAACTGTGAACGGTCATGTTTATACAGGGCTTACACTCTTTTTAGTAAAACATGTACATCTTAGTTATACACTTGCTACATCTTGATTTTCTGTCAAAAAACAAAAATCGAATTAGATTGAAAAACACACCTTTTGAACATGCCTGAAGCTCATTACTCTGCTTGGAATAAATTTATCTAAAGGAAATGTTAAATAAATATTAGAAATCAAAAGCTAAGTCAGGTCAAAGTAGTTAGGGTCATTTCATCTGAATATATCTTTTCTTAATCATAAAGTGACTTTTTGAACTGGAAAGCGAGATTAAATGCGGATAGCAGTGGACGAAATGACACTATTTCAAACTGGGCATGAAAAGAAAAAGGAAAAAATGGCACTAAGCCAAGGGAAGGCATACCTTCGTGAAGGACTTTTTAAAGGACACTCGCTCGTAGACATGTTACACAAAAAGAAAACAACGAAAGCGTCCTTACAGTCAGCCTTTCCACTGGAATGTGAACCTCGGACCGAACTATCAGTAAACTGCATTTTAACCGGTTGGACATTGTTGAGCCTTGTGCCTTCATGAAAAGCTTAAGAGTTGGATGACTGACGCTTTTTTAAACTATAACTTTTATTTCATTTTTTATTAATTCTTATTCATCAAACTAATTATTTATTTTCCCTGATATTTGAGCTTTTTCTCAGATTTATTTTCAAAGGCACAATGTCTAGAAAATGTCGCGAATCAAAAATAAATGATTAAGTCTTAGATGAGATTCACTCTACTAATCAAAAAAATTTTTTTGTCACATTTAGAATGTAATATATGTAAGTTATGCATACTGCTTATCTCAACACATGCTCAAAATTTTTTTTTGCTTTTGAAATCAATAAAAATTTTTTTATAAAACTAACCCCAGCAAAATATAGAATTTTATATTTCATTTTATGCTTGAATCTTAACTTCAGGAATAGAGCTAACAAACAAGTTATAAGGTCTAATCGTTCATGGGAGCATGCAAAGCGTCAATGACTTTCTATAAGACTGTTGGTGACTTCTCACTATTCAACATGGCCCACACAGTGGTCAAGGGGTAGTTCGGTCCGAATCCCGTGAACAGGATGGCTGCATGAACGTTTTCGTGGTTTCCCCCATGTGTAGCTCGAATACAAGCCAGTTCTCTTAGAAAATCTTCTATGAAGGCATCCCTCCCCTCAGGTGGATAGCCCTCGACGCTTTTGCCATAATCACATAAAAGAAAACAAACTCGCTAGTCAACATGATGTTCAGTAACAACAGAATAAGGATAAAGGTTGAAACCTTTTATTCAACAGAACTATTTAAAAGAGCACACCTTGTGCTGAACATATATAGACCACTGCTTGTGGTGTTATGTTACGTAGAAGTAAAGGGGTCAAGATGCAAGTTTTATGGCAGTGTTTATTGTAATGGGTACAGGCATCATGTTTCAGGACATTACATATTGCAGTAGATACAGATGTGATGTTCCCATGTTACAAATCATTTTTGCAAACATGATCTGTTTACATCAGTATTTACTATCAAAATTAAGTTAGAACTATGAACTTTGGCTTTAATTCTCCATATAAAATTTTCTTGAATTTTTAAATTTTTTATAAATTATTCTCTGTATATGATGAAAATTTACATACTTTTTATACTCATAATTTTGTAGAATTAAAAGAAGCAGTGTGGCCAGTATTCTCTTTCACCTCCCTTTGTCGGACTTATTTGTCATGTAAATATAACAAAGTTACACATACATGTCTATATTTTTAATTACATTTATTTTGATTGACTCCTCTGCTCTGTATACATATAGGGTTTTAATTCAGCCAGAGGCCACAATGAAATGTGTTCCGCTACTTAAATTTATTGTTCAATTATTTGTCAATAATTTATTTTTTATTTTATCTTTATTTATGAATCTGCTTTGTACAGCTGAAGAAAAAAAAGGGGAAAATATAACTTTTAACATAGCATATATATTCGGTGTGGGGTTTTGTCACTGTGGGCTTATATCAATGTGTGCTTTCATCGGCATGGATATTTGTCACATGGGCAATTATCACAGTGGGGTCTTTGTTATGGGCTTTTGTCACATGCGCTTTTGGCCAGTGGACCTTTGTCTGGTCACCAAATATTATGACATTTCAAAAGAGCTATACAGATTTTTTTGTTTTTTGTTTTGCAGTTGTTTTATTTTAAGGTAGAATAAAGATGAAAACTTTTCACTTTAACCACTTAACTATTTCTTTTTACTTCTTTGTGCGAAGTAAAGGAAGTATTGTAATCACGAAAAATTCTGAGTACCATATTTCAACAAAAATATCCATTTTAATCGCTATCGAATGCAATTTAATGATGTTTTTGCATGACATCTATACCTAAGGACAGAATAAAGGACACTTTTTCCTCAAACGAACTGCAAAACTGATTTAAAATGGATTCAAAAGAGATTTTTTTGTGCCATCTATGTGTATATATTTCCCATAACTCAGAAACAAATAACCTAAGAACGCAGAAATTTTGTATGTAGGACTGCTATAACATGCTGACATGCACCGTCATTTTTGGTTGCAATCGGCTGCACCAAAAGTATATATAAATCCACTCTGTTACTCGGCTCAGTTTCTTTATTCTTTTATGTTTACATATTGTGTATTTTTTGTTTTAAAACTGATTGAATTATGTTCTTATCTTCTGGTTAAGGTTTTAATGCTTTAGTTAACCTACATGTTATAGTTGTAGAATTATCAACAAGTTAAAAGTTGTTTAGGTGCACCTAGGCCTAATTTTTTTTTTAACCATAGCAGACATACTTGTTTACATTTAAAATTTAGCAGAATAGTTGATTTGTTGGCAATCTAGAGAAACTAAGCTTCACAACAAAATAACGTTTTCTTTTATTATTGCGAATTAAATTATGCTTTAACCAATTCTGGAATTATCATTTAAGTTATTAAATTATCTCATATATTGACTCGGCATAGCATCCACAACAAATTAAATCAGTTTTTACGCCTTCAGTGTCTTTTTGCCAAGTGAGACCAAAAGTAAAACTTTCAGTTTTATTCACCGAAAATTCTCGAAAATTCTTTATTCTTGCTTGTTTTTGAATAGAAACTGTAATTTTCATTGTAAAATTTAAAAAAAAAAAAAAAATGTTTTTTACTGTATTTGGTGTTTTATGTTTTCCTATATTTTTAAAGAAGATATTTCACATTTTTATTATTTTTGTCCCAGCCGCGAAGTGAGAACTGGATAAATTGAATGAGAAATACATCTCTAATGAAATTCGAGGAAAAAAGTGTTTCATATTAGCAGAAAATACTGTTTCAAGTCTGTTTCGAACAGTGAGAATGTTTACAAGTAGAGCATGTGCATTAGGTAAGCAGCGCAGAATTATCTGTGAAAAACTTTAGTTTTTATTTGTTTGATTTCTTTTATACATCTTTTGAGATTTATTTGCATCCCAAGTTATTAAATGAAGGAGATGCAACGCTTTTAAGTGAACCTAGCGCCGGAGTATTGCTATGGTAAATAAATATAGCGAATTTTAAAAAGCGGACTTATTCTGTTGTGGTTTATGCTCTATCAGTGAAGTAGATTTAATAAGTTCAATTCAATGAGTTTAAATGAAATGCAAGGAAAAATGCATATAATTTAATATTCCATAAAGTCATGTTGTGTACACATCAGAGTTTTTGTAATCAAATTGACCGAAAAAATTTCACTTTTTTTAAAATTAGTTTCATTTAAAATTTGGGTTCAAGAGAAGTTAATTTGAGTTTAAATGCCCTCAACTATTAAATTTAATTACTTAAAATTAAGATGTTGTTCATAAACATATAGCTATATAACAATAGCTTTGCTCTACACAAAGAGGCAACCTCTAATTAACTTTCCGCAATTTCAGGATCTCCCCCCTAGACCAGTACTTCTGAGAACATTCTGGTATGTTACACAACTACTGCTATAAATGAAGAATTCGTGCCATTTTTCATGAGACTGCTCCCTGCCATTGCTGCAATAAGACCTTGTGCGGCTCTTTCACCTGTTCTTTCCTTTATTAGAATAATTATGAAGTCAAAAGCTTAACCTTATTTTAATTTAAATCATTATTTGGCATACAGTTTTTGGCGAATCTGAAAGAATAATGATCTGACATTCTAAGTGAATAACGCTATGGAGTTTGAAAATTAAAATTCTTCTATGTCTTCAATTCGGGTGCCTTCCCACTCTGCAACGACCACACCCGGACTCTGATGTGACCAGATTGCTAAGCTTTATCATTTCCAATGCCGACCTACTGCAAATATTACACACATATATATTATATATACATATAAATTACATAGATACAAGAATTTAGATGAAAATTATTCAAAATTTTACACTTTCAGGATTTTTTATATACACTACACAGTTTCTCACTTAGAGGAGGTGTACTAACTTAAAGTAAGGCATGAGACATAGACCAATATTACAGTCTCAGAGGTACCTGGTTTTCCAGAATCATAATGCATTTACCAAATATAATTATTATTCATTAACATTAGCAGAGCATGAAATTTTATCCTCAAAACTTTTCCCACACCTTATGTTTCAGAAAAACTTTCCTTATATATTCCCCGCAAAAATACTTCTCCCCATGAAATCAGAAACAAAAGATATTGGAATAGTAATCATGCTTTGATGGCCTGCTTTTGCCATCTCTTGACAAAACTGTAAGCTAATACGAAACAAAAATATGATCAAAACATCAACAGACCACATAAACTCTTCTAACCTATATGCCGTGTGGGTAAATCAGTTAAGTGTTTAATATTGCGTTTAACATCTATATTTAATAAAGGTGTTAGACTTTAAAATACATTTAAAAATTAAGCTAATAATAAAACAAAGAAACAGAAAACAGCTAAATCATTTGGAATTCAATATCTATGTAGTTACCTCAGATTTTGTCAAAAAATAATCCAACCCTACCCAACAGGGTTCATACAGTTCACATATGGTATCCATAAGACTCTTTCTAGATGCCTGCATAGCTAAAAAGAAACATGGATTAAAATACAAGCAATAAAATAAGATATGATGGATTAAAAAACATTACTAGATTTTTCTTTACATGATTTTTAAACCCATTAACCGTCAAAATTACAAGGAATGTTTCTTTTCTCATGAAAATAATAACAGATATTAAATTAAGCATTTATAACATAAATTTACATTGAAAATAAAAAAAAATGCTCTTACCTGTGGAAAAAGCGATTGTTGCGTTCGCGCAACGTCAGCGGAATAAGACTACGGATGTTTAGTGAGTAGGATTGTACTCGTGTGATGTTTCTTTTGAGTGGAGCGCAGGATTACTTTTTAGCCGTATAACGTTTTATAAATCTACAAATCACTTTACTTGTAATTAATTTAATATTAAAATATACATTGTATTTCTTTTACAAATACAGATTATTTCAATTGAAAGATTCAAGCATGAAAAGCTTGATTACAATCATGATGTAAAGCTACATTACATACCTTACATCTATCTATAAACAGTCTGGCTATGGTACTCTTTACAACAAAGTCTTTTGTTATCAACGGACTTTACGATAACATGTCTACCATCTCCATGCAATGGTTTTTGATTGCTGAATTTACTAGGTCTTCCTGTTGCTGATCTACTTCTGGCACTCTCAATAGGAGTTTACAAAAGAAATAACGCATTCTCGCGTCTGAAATCTAAAAGAGACTTTTTATTTCCAGTAGTAAAAAGTGGTGATATTTAGTAAGTTTAGATACGATCTCACCTTTATCAATATTGTCATTAATTTCAGACTGCAAATTAATTTCAGACTGCAAAATTCATAATTACCTTTCAAGCACTGATGATAATTTTTAAATTCCTTTTGCAATCTCAACACAGCAATCTGAAAAACAAAATTTACGAAAAATTTAAAGCTATCAAAAGCAATCAGTTTGGTAATAAAAGTTCCTATTAAAAACAAAACAAGCATTTGATTAAATGATTAGAAGCTTTTAATTTTTAATAATTACAGCAAACTATATCAGAAATGTTGCATCTAATATCCACAAGAAATCAAAACTATCAAAAGCAGAATTAAAAATTGTTAAACTGAAATTTACAGAAGCTAAAACTGCCATAAAATATGACTTCAATTTCATTCAGTCATTCAATTTTCAAGTGGTTAATGAAAACCTCACTAAATAATCTACAAACTTTATATTTGTTAAACAATATTTCATTTACAATCAAGAATTGTGTATTCATTCCTACACCAGTTCATTAAGTTACAGTATATATGGCTATGAGTGAATTAATTTAATTTATGAACAAAGCAAAAGGTTTACCTGCCAAGGCTCAATTCCAATTCTGGCTTAGAATCATCAGTAGGATAGAACTGTTATGTAACTTGCTTGCTTCTAATTTAAAGTGGTAGTAATTTTTACTTTGATTTTATTAAGTGTTCTCAAGATTATTTTTAAAAGCTAAAGATCTTATTGATATGAGTTGTAGCTGCATTTTACTCCAATTAGTAATTGATGATGATTAATCCTATAATAACTTTCAAAGAAAAACTTATGTTTAATTTCTTTTTAAATTTTGTTTGGTTTTATTCTTTTGATTTAACCGATGTCGGTTAATTTTTGTTTAATTTTTGTTAAAAGGGGTTAGTGCCCTCAGTGCTTACTAATTTTAATTTGGGTTCTTATGTTTACATTTAATGGCATTTTCATTTAATTATTTTGTTAGTTTTTCCCTCTTTCACTTTAAAGTACCAAGTCTTCTGGTTAATTTGTTGAATATTTCAAAAGCTTGTAATTATGGTACGAAAATTTTATGTAATTTAAAAAGATTTATGTCTTTAGAGAAAAAAAGTATTACACTAGAAAACTGTGTCTAAACTACAGAATTGTTCGAAAATTCCCTTATCTATTTTTGTGATGCTTGGCTGGCAGTTAGGGTGATGTGACCTCCCTTAAGGGTGACACTGTGAGGGTAGAGAAAGGAACGTGGATACCATCTTGTGACTGTGAAAAAGGGTCCGACAGCAAGGCTGGAAACATAAATGTGTTTACCTTCTAAACCGGTGAATCAAGAGGCTACATTGTGGGTACCACCTTGTGACCACAAAAAAAAAAAAAAAAAAAAAAAAAAGGCTGACAAAGAGACTAGAAACAGGATCATATTTAAATATTTGAAACTAGGGAGCTATATGATGTGCTGTTGTTTGACCTTTTCCATCGACTTATTCTTTAAAAAAAAGAGCAAGCGATTTCTGCAAAGGCTACAACATCCATTTAGGATACAATTGCTAAGATCCCCCCCTGTGTTCTGCTGGCGCTGATGGCAAAACTTTGGGTTTACCCGAAATTCAAGGGATGGATTCTTTGTCAGAGAAGAAAGTCACTGTTGAAGGAAGAAGGAAGTGGTCTTGTTTTTGGCTGTGCAAGAAGAAGGAAGGAAGACAAGGATGAGAGTGGCCATGTTGGGGCCAGACGGAAGAAAACAATCCCCATACTTTTCATGATGTTTAGCTTCATATAATTTCCTATGATTTCTGTTTTCAAATATTGGTCTTTAAATCCCTATCATGTCTTCTTAAATGAAGACCTTTTGAGCAAAGTAGGATGTTGCCCATATGGGAGGCTCGCTCTTTGCCAGTTATGCCTAGAGATATGTATATTTTTATTAGTAATAATTGTTTAATTGAAAATAAGTAGTCTCTTCACTATTATGACCGGTTTGGCAGTTTGAAATTTATTAAATGTGGAGAAAGTATACTAATATTTTTAATAATATGATTATGTAATTGGTATGATAAATTAACTAATCATTGTTAATCAGCTAAAGGTATATGTTGGAAGTTAAATAAATAGTGAATTCTAATTTGTAAATGCAATATGCTTGAATAATTCGAAATTTGAAAATATAATTTACTAGCCAGTGTTACACAAATTTAAAAACCTCTCTTTACTGATTTTGTGTAAAATGTGAATTGTTGATAAAAGATAACTGAAGGCCTGATGGAAACTAAATATGCTTTACCTTCACCTTTAAAACACATATGATTAACTAAACATTTTTTTTATTTCAGAAGTCCGTGTTTCGATTCCCGGCAAAGGCATTGCATATTTGCTTGCCACTCTGAAAATTTTGAGATACACGTAGGCTTTTTATACTTATATATAAGTTATACTTAGGTAATTTTAGGAGCGTTCAAAATAGTCTCCAGCATCAACATGCTTCTCTCAAATGCATTTATAGCCTCATCAATCTCATCTTCAGAATGAAAACAATGTCTACGCAAGTCTGTTTTTTTGATTAAAAAATAGCCAAAAGCCACACATAGCTAGATCGGGTGAACAGGGTGGATGTTCTATCACTTTGATGTCTTTTTGTTTAAGAACTCAATTGTCAATCTTGCTGAAAGAGAAGATGTACTGTCATGGCAGAACACGAGTCCTCTTAACATTCACATCTTGAAGAATTTCTAGAACACATTTAGTGGTGTACCAGTTAGCTGTGACTGTCTTCTGTCCTTCTAGCTTCATGGCTTTGATTAGTCATGTACTTTCAAAGAAAACGGCATCATTATGGATGTGGGATCATCTTCAAAGACCCATACTTCACTTTCTTGGCATGATGGAATATCAAACAATGTTATACACATTTTATCACCAGTTATGATTTTAGAAATAATACGATGACCACCATATTTAAGTAATTTGGGGGTTTCTTCACTGATTCTGACATGCTCCTCTTTTTGGTGCTCAGTTAAATTATGAAATTACTGTTATTTGCATATGAAATTGAAATGGGTCATATGAAAAAAATTTCATATGCAATTCATCGCAAATAATTTTTAATATAGCAGCTGATCTAATGTTAAGTTCCTTCTCTATCACTTGTGCAGCAATTAGCACCATTTAACATTTTCTGTATGGTAGAGACATTATCCGGAATTACTGCTGACAAAGGCCTTCCTATGTGTTCTTCATCCTGAAGAGAGTTGCGATATCTGTGAAGTTCTGCAAACCATCTGAATACTGTAGCATGGGATAGACCTTCGTTTCCAAATGCTAATTGTAGACATTGAACACATTCTTCTTGATTTAATCCTATTTTAAAATCATAGTGTGATAATGTTCTTGACTCAACTCCATTTTTCCTTCAGCCTAAAATTTATTCTATGCTAAACTACAGTCAAAAGTCATTAATCCGGACTCGTCGGGACTTCGGCGATTCCGGATTATAGATCATCAGTTTAATCTGTAAGATGGCAGCCAAATTAAAATTAAAAATATGAAACCGGAATTTATGAAATAAAGAAAATTATGATCTAAAGGGTATCAAAATTTACAAAAAAAAAAAAAAAAAAAAAAAAATTAAGATTTATTTGTTTACTTTTAAACATTTCTTTCAACGTAAGGGGGGAAGGGCTCGTTTTTTATGTTGAGAATCTTTTCTCTTTAAGCCGATCCAATTCGAATTAAAAACAACGCACTGCAACAAACGGAATTAGATAATTTAGTTAGCTTTACCCGCCCGTTTTACAAAAAACACACATCATAAATGTATTTTGCGCATGCGCACAGGCATATCGCAGCCGTAAGTCTTGCGCGCATGCGTCGACAAGACACAGGCAGAAAGTTTTGTAGCTTTGAGGTTAGACATTCCGGATTTTGGTTCCGAATTAACGACTTTTGACTGTATTTGCAGTTGGCCAATAAAAATCATATGCTAGGCTAAAATAGTTAACATTTTCAAATTTAACCATTAATTTTTTTTTCCACGGCTTATTGTCTGCACGTCAAAAATTTCAGAGTGACCTCCATAAAATATTAATTTCTAAAATAAATATGATTCTTTGAAAATATAAACAAGCTTGTTCCTTTATAAATTTCATACATAACTGCATTTCCACTGTACTATTAACTTAATTACAACATTTGACTTTACACAATGCAGTTTTGTTTACTTATTCTGATACATCAATGTTTGAGTGTAATTGTTATACTTGCACATTGTCCACAAACCGTTTTTGGGGCTGTGTTGTTAAAAGGATGCAGTGAAAATATATGTTTTGCTGAGCTGAGGTCGCAGTGAAATTTTCATAATTCTTAAAAATTGTATTTCATTTGTTTACACAGGCATTTTTATAAAATTTTATGTTATTTTAGTAACAGCTGGCACTGTATTTAAATGTGCAAAAACCTTAATCTTTGACATACTATATATAAGTAATTTGCCAGATTTGATTATTGACTCTATTTTGTTCTACACGACTGTTTTATTCCCTGAAGTAAACATTACCAGGGCCAGTTAATAGAAAACAGAAGAAGTCTAATTCTGCTAGTAAGGGTTCTTAGAATATATGTCCCCAACACTTTTAATGAGATTCAGGAACCTCAGCCTCCATTGAGTAAGATTTCTGCATTTGGGGCTGATCTTATGTCTATTCCCACTTTTACAGGGACTATGAGTACAAGAGGTCTAAAGCAACATCTTAGACAACAGTTAATTTGGTGGCATCTCATGTAGGATGGTAAGATTCTGGCTATTCATGCCAAGTTAGAGGATGAGGCTGCTGCTTTCATTCATATAATCCTAGTCTTAAAAAAAAAGAGACTAGTCTCGTATTTGTTGTTGGGCATTAAAGGCTAGATTTTTGACAGAGCACAACTTACATGCACACATTAGAGCTCTAATACAAGCTTTTCAAAAGGCAAGAGAAAGTGTTAGACAGTTTGCAGGAAGGATTGAGGCACTCTCATCTAAAACTGTGCCAACAGATATAACACACAACAATCCAACTGCAGAGAGTCAGAGGCTTTAGCCACTCCTTTATATTTTTCTTGATGGTCTTCACCTCCATTTGAGCCTATACTGCTCTTGCCTCAAAATCACAAATCCTATCTAGCTGTAAAAATTAAAAGAAAGACAAAAAAAAAAAAAAAAAAAAAAAAAAAGCATGCAGTAGCAGAGGAAGGTAGTAAGGTACAAGACTCATTCAAGATGAGTTGGATAATGTTCGTACTTCTGCTGCTCGTTGTGCCACATTTTAAGCTATCCAGGCAGTCTTTCACAAAAAGATGAATTTGCAGCAGTGTTCACACTGCAACAAGAAAACATTGCAATACTTAATAACATGTTAGGCAATTTGCAAACACAAGTCCAATCATTAATGTCTAGGACTGCAACAATAACTTGACAAGCTGACCCTCATTATTGTAGATGTAATCATTTGGATCATGTTGATAAGAATTGCTTTAACACATCTCAAGGTTCTAACAACACTGTTAGATCAAAACAGTTTTCACAAACTAATTCTAAGCACCAGGAAGTAACAAAACATAATATGGAGAGTAACAGTATTAATGTCTCACTGTCCTCTCCACCCCAAAATTCTCAACAGAACTTTCAGCTGGACAGAATTCAAGTGCGCCCATGCTGCAAAAATACAAATGAGTATGCCTTACTAGAGGCCTGAACTTGAATGAAATAGTGTTGAGAAACAGCATCCACTAACCACTGCAGAACCTGAGAATACAACAACTTGGAAAACAAAATAGTCTAATTTTGTTACAAATAATTCTGTGCAAGAAAATAACTTATATGCACTGCTTGGCATGTCAGTTTTTTTAATGTTCCATAAGTTATTTAAAATTACTCTTACACACCTGAAAGCTGACTGCCATGCCTAAGACTTGCAGTCTTAGCCAGATAAGCCATATAATGTCCCATCAAAATGCCTTGCCCAAATACATCTCAGGCAAAACTTTGGCTTATAACAGATTCTTACATCTACATTCACCTCAAGGTCTGATGATTTTCCCTTTTTTTAATAAATGTTTGCACATAAAATACTAAGCACAAATTTTCATACAATTTAAGTCTGCTGTTCCTAGGGGGGGGAAATCTGGTTATGATTTTGCTAAAGTGAAGAGTTTTATAGATGACTTAAGATTCTTCTAGAGAGGACAACAGTCACTTTGATCATGAAGGCATGGCTACAAAAGGCTGCAGTGATACTGAAGAATGATATTTAAAGTAGATGCAAATAGGGAGGCACAGATGATAACAATTAAGTATTGTTGCAAAGGAAGTGTAAGGAACTGCCAGGAAATAACATCCAATTGACACATGCTTTCTCAGTTTCTGTTTACTGATACTCTGGGTGCAACTTTTCCAGTAGATTAAAACTGTACGCTTGTAAGAATGCCTTTTTATCAACCATATTCTCTCTAAATCTGAAAAATGTGAATTTACAAGGTGATGGGAAAAAAGAGGAGGGAGGGAAAGGAAAAGGAATATAATTTAGATATGAAAGAGTTTATTTATACTCTCATAATGGAAAAAAAATATCACTCACTTTATACATGGAATAAAATTTTTCAACACATTATAAAAATGTCAAATACTAAATTGATGTAAGCTACTGGCTTTATGATGTTTATAACTTTTTTATTTAGTAAACATAATGCTGCACTAACAATGTACTGAATCATTACACAGCAGCAGCCATTAAATGTCCAAACAGATCTTCATATTTCATAAAAAGTACCTAATTAAAAATATTTTGTAATTATTAAGTGTTTAATAACAATTCCATCTCTACAACAAAAAAATGACATTTTTGGTACCGAAATGATCAAAATATTTTTGCAGTTAAAAAGTTCAATTGCAAACATAAAAATTACGCATATATAAGCAAAACTTTATACATTAAAGAGCTGTAAAATTATATATATTTATATTACATATAATAGATTTCATGTTAAAACAAATTTCTACTACCGATTAAAAGAAAAAAAAAATTACTGCTACCACTCAATGATAGAGACAGTTTATCATTTAAAAACTTAATATGAAAAAAAAATGGAAATTTTCATTTCATACTTGCTGTTTATTAAAATTCTTCACACAAAGATCAAAATCAGCATCAGTTGTTCGGTCTGCTTTGCCCAAATTTTGCAATAACTAAAAATTAAATATCATAAATGAGGCTAAAAAATAGAGAATTACTTATTAGTAATTTCATGGAATTCATGGACAAATTGCAACACTAAATTATATTTTTCAATCATAATCTTAACTCCAATTTTAAAAGTAACCTTAACATTTAAATTAGAGATCATAGACAAGGATTAACATCAGTGTTGTTAACTAGTTTTATACCTCGAAAAATTATATTATTAATGATACAATATTTACTTTAAGATTATATCTTTACTCTTTATTCTGTCCAATCACTTATTCGTTAATGAAAAGCTTTCAAACAAAAAGACAAACACCCATTTAATTCAAAAGCATAACATCTGCAAGAAAATATTTAGCAATTAGATTATATTTCCATGAAAAATCATCTGAGTTTGTTACACTGCTAATCATATATGCAGAACAAATTAATCTTACACTTTAATGAGACTTTATATCACTTGAGATAGCAGGGCTCTAAAAAGAAATGCAACTTGTATCACACTTCAGATATATACTATGCATAATATAAATTTTGAACATGAATTCTAATCTAATATCTTAAAAACTATTTTCACACCAAATGGTAAACATGTCGCAAAAAAAAAAAAAAAAAAAAAAGTGTACAGACAGTACAAAATGTTTTACATGAAAATAATTATTATGGAAGATATTGAAAAAGAAACCTTTCATTTCAGAAAGAAACAAGAGACAGTGGTGTAGTGAGTGGGGGGCAAGGGGGTGTATGATGTCCCGTGCGCCGCTCGCAGAGGGGCACCAAATGGTCTCCTAACAAGTTTTTCATCAATCATATCACTGTTTTTTTGGGGGGGAGGGGGCACCAAAAAATATTTTGCCCCGGGCATCAGTTATGCTCGCTTAAAAAAAGAAAGCTAATAATAATGTATAATTTAGTTAATAAATTCGGGCAACAGTGGGTAGTTGTTGTTTATTAGGAGATCGTATTTCGTGATGCTGTTGAGAGGTAGTTCTACTTTAGTTACTAATTCCAATTAAAACTTACTATTTTTGCTCTGTTATTTGTTTTCCTTTTTTAGTTCTGGAAACATGTTTCAAGTTACCGGCAAAGCAAGCTACCAGACTGTGTCAAGTGTTTTCAATTGATAAGAGTAAAATGAAATTCATTAAGCCTAATCTGGTGTTTCGTTTTCGTCTTAGCAATCAAAACAAGGTTTAAAAATCAAAGGATGGAATTATCTTAGATCCAAGTAAAGCCTTTAGCAGGTGAAAGGAAGGTATATGGAAATGTACGATACAATTCATTTAAAGCTATCATCCACATGCTTAAGAAATTGTGGAAGAACTTCAGTGAAACCAGAAAATCTTCCAGTAGATGTTCCGGTTGTTCAATGAGAGAAATATAATGAAGCTGTTAAAAAGTTTCAAAATTCAAATATACATGTTACAATGGTTTTAATAAATTCTATGATAGAAGAAACTCTTCAAAAGATCATGAGATTTTAGAGTGCTTGAGAAGTGTGGTTGGAATTACATACATTATTTAAAGCATCATCAGAAAATCAACAGATTAATATGTGCATGCAGTTTTTTCAGTTCAAAAGGAATTAGAATAATAATACGGCAGCTCATCTTTCCAATCAAAAAATTATGGAAGTTGAATTCAGGACTTTAAAATGAAAATAAGTCGCCAGGCATGCTTTTCAATGGCAAGACTAGATGTTTTACCCATACACAATACCATTCATTTAAATCAAGCTGGTTACTCTTGGGTGAAGTCAAGCGAAAGAACACAACTTTGCTCTCATGAAAGAGAATTTACAAGTCTTGAGAAAAAGCAACACAAGTGAACAAGTGGCATTAGTAACATCAAAATCTAAAAAATAAAAGCCATATAAAAAAGTAAAATTCAGAAGAAAAATGATAAAAGAAGATATTTGCTATTATTACACGGGAAAAGTACACTGGGTTTAAAATAAAGAGAGAGAGTACTAACAGAGGACTGTAAATAGAGGAGCACTCAAGAATAGGTCAACAAACACCATTCAAGAAAATACAGACAGGGTAACACTGATGTTTATTTATGGCACAGTTGAGACTATCCAACATGATTTTGGATTGATGGTGCAGCTACAACATATATCATGAACTGTTCGACATACTTGATTAATTTTCTGAAGTTTCATAGTCTCTGTAGCATCAAGGCTTCCAGAAAAGAAACTTTAATCGCTCTTGGGAAAGCAACAGTGTGTGTCAAGACAACTATTGGCAATAAAATTCAAACAATCCATTTAAGCCCTTAAAAAGCACCAGTATATAAAATATATGGCACCAGTATATAAAATATACTGGATGTCTGTCAATTTTTTAACCTCCTACAACATGCTAATTTTGCTACACCAAAAGCTGTAATCGTAAGTTTCTAGTATTTCCTTTTTATTCAAAATGGCAGCACTAACCTATGAATACTCAATACTTTGCAGTTATGAAATTAATATACTTCATTCCAAGGTGTCATGTTTGAAGATTCATAAATTCTACTGGAGGGGAAGAAAAAATACAAAATTTGCAAATATGTGATATACACACACTTAATCTTACATATTTAATGCATTTCAGTCAAAAGTGATAGTTTACAGATTATTTATACGATTTTAAGACCAGTATATGATACACACCGTTGCCCATACTGAGGGTACCATGCCAATAGATGTCAGCACCAGTCTTCTTTTCTACTCTATGAGATAACAAAATTTCTTTATATTATAATACCGTATTTACTTGCGTAATAGTCACACCTTTTTCACCAATTTTTCTTTGTGAAAGTCTAGGTACGACTATTATACGGGGAAAATCTACTACACAATATTTTACACCTTTGACGATTATTTTTGCTTCAGAATGGGATTACGACTATTACGCGAGTAAATACAATAGTTTATGATGTAATTTTTTTTTATGATTAATTTACAAGTTGTTTAGGATTCAATATTATGTTCATGGGTGGGATGGTGAGTTTATTGACTCTGTACTAGGACTGAGCACAAGAATATTAGTTTCTTTATATTCTTTGTTTACGCCATGAGTTTCTCATCAGTCTCTTTAGCAAAAATTTTAATTTATCACTTCACCCTTTCCCAGAAAAAAAAAAATTCGATTTCAAAATTGTCATCTGGCGTCCAAACATTACACAATTGTAGAGGTTAAATGTGGCATGTTAGCCCCGAAAGACACCCGTTGCTTCATGTTTTCCAAAATCCTAGAATGCAGCAAAAATGAAAAGAGGTGATTGACAACTAATTTGTCATTCAGGGGTCAAGCCTTCTTCCCTTTGTTTGATAAGATCACACAAAAAGAAAGGTCACTTAAAACTACAGGAAATAGAAATGCACTTTAAGTCCAACTCTTAGTGGAATGGAAAAACTGCTGATTTGAAAGCATTTTAAGGCATCTTTGTCAATTTGAGATGAGAGACTAGGGAACACAAGAGAAAATTTCCCCCTGGGGTTAAATAGGTGGTTTTCAAATAAATTTTCACAGTCGGTGAAAGGTGCGAAAATATTTCTAAGGCCAGTTTCAGATGCAAACCAAAATTTATCTAAAAGTTGAAAACAGGCCCCTAGGAGGCCAAAGGGGATGAAAATCAAAATTATTTAAAGAGCTTACAGGCATATCAAATAATAAAATTGTTTAATGGTGTTTCTCCATGAACAAAATGATACATTACAACCCATATTTACAAAAAATAAAAAAGGGGCCCTTACGAGCTTTGATAATCGCAAGTGTATGTGTGTGTGTGTGTGAGTGAGGGGAAGGATGATTCTTTGTATCATAGCATGAAGCATGCTCTTTTTTATATATTATCTAAAGAATAAACTATAATAACTTCAAAAATGCAACATATTTTTTCAGCTGAGTCGCAGTGTTTTATTTTTAAAATTTCAATTTTTCAGCCGAGTTACACCTCCTTATAACATTATACTAGTTCAGTTACAGAATGATAAGGTTTACACATTCAGTGTTATATTAGCTAAATTTTTTCATAAAATAAAAATATTGAATTTAAATCAATTTCAAAAGCTTTTTACACATATTTCGCATAAGTATGTTCAGTTGGGTTTTAAAAACATAAATTTTATTTTTCAAATTCTAAATATCTAGCGAACTTTTTCTTTCTTAATTATATTCAAGCACCCATCTCTATAGAATGCACATCAAATGTAGGCAAAATTAATTAAAAAACAAAAATTAACAATTGACAGCTATCTGTAAAAAACAATGTCTTAGAGGGACATCAGTATAAAATATATACCGGCTCTCAAAATTCAGGATTTTGCTCTAGACGTTTTTTGTCTCAATGTTTTGTTCTTTCTTCTTCCATAAGTCACAATTCATGCAAAATTTTATATACTGCCCCTCAAAGGGATAAAAGATGTTTGGTATGTATGTACCTCAGATAAACAGAAATTTATTTTCTTTACTTGCTGTGCAAGACAGAAATCAGAATAGTAAATTTATCACAGCAGCTCCAGAATGCTGGTTAATAGTCAAGTAGGTGCTGTCTGGAACTTCCCAGTGTATATGGTACCTCATTACATGGCAGCTATTGAACCAATTATGAAATTATAGAAGTGCATGCTAGCAGACAATTCCTTGCTGCTGTTATATCATCAATGATGGGGACATTAAGATAAATGTCATATTAAGAACATGCTTGAGAATGAATTAAGGTGTATCCACACAACTATGCTGGTGCCACAAAAAAAAATCACACAACGAAACGAATGTTGCCGGTGAAAAGTCGTCCAAACAGAGACACGAACAAAGTCTGGGTTTAGCCAATAGAACTGTTGAAGAGAAAAATCATGTGACACTCACAAAAGGCTGCAAGTGCGAAGTGTTTCACCTGCAGTTTCATACTTTGGTCAGTAGAACGTCACACTTGGTTTGTTTTATTGTGAAATTTTGTTTATTAAGCAATTTAACAACTCAGGATAGTAAGATTAAATAGTTACTACACACACAAATCAGTTCTTATGCACATTAAGATTTATAAAATTGTTTTGGAATAAAGTTTATAAAGAGAATTAAATGATTTGAAACACCATTCACCACATAATAAAATCAACTTCATATTTTTTAACAGTTCTTTTTCCCCTCCCTTGGCTGTCTTATTTATGTGTGGCATCAGAATATATGTAAAGAAATCTTTCCAATAAGTAAAGCGTTTAATAAGTTGATTATTCTCTATATATTATCACACATAAATTAGAAGAAAAAATTTCATCCAATAAAATTTATTTGATGCAAATTTAAATTTAATGGCTTATAGAGAAAATTATATTCACAGTGAAAGATTAAA